CGAACATTGTATAGATCGTTTAATAAATATCGTTTAATAAATATATATTTTATTGTATCGCTACGCATCGCATATATATATTCGCATCTTCCTCTCCCGCCGAACCTCTTTTACGCTCCGTACACATTACGACCATAGCACGAGCCGACGAGCTAGTCCGCGTATAGAAGTCAGGTTGTTTCAACTTTACAATAAAAGAGTGGGAGAATAATCTAGACAGTAAGCAAGTACCAAAATTTAACGAATTGATAGAATTCTTAACAAAGCGATGTGAAACATTAGAAGCCGTCGCGAGAAGGAGTCTATCTATAGAGTCATCTAGCAGGCCTCGACAAACGACCAGTAAGACGACAAATGCACATGCAGCAGTAGCAAGCGTAAAATGTGCACATTGTAATGGCGACCATCAAATTTATCAGTGTAAAACGTTTAAAGAACTATCCATTACAGACTGTTTAAACAAGATCTCTAAAATTATGTCTCAATTGTTTGAAGGGCAAACATTTCGTTAGGGATTGTAACGCCAGCCACTGTAGAAAATGTATGAAAAAACACAGCACTTTGTTACACGATGATAACATGACATCAAAAGGGAAAGAAGAAACGAGCGATCCAAATCCGAGTACGATTAATGAAGCCCATAAGAAGGAAGATACAATATGTACATACACACAACCAAAAAGGATACTTACCTCAACACAGGTATTGTTATCTACGGCAGTAGTATTAGTCAAAAATTGCGATGGACAATACATAGAGGGTAAAGCGTTACTTGACAACGGGTCTCAATCTAATTTTGTTACGGAAGAGTTCGTTAAAAAAGTAAACGTGAAAACGAGGGCAAATCATATAGAGATAAAAGGTATAAGTCACCACATATCACATGCTATGAAGTCAGCGCAATTGCATGTAAGTTCGCGATTTAATACCTTCGGATTGGACATGCAATTTATAGTATTGGAAAAGATTACACAAAACTTACCTACTATCGAAGTGAACGTAACAGATTTAGATATACCTAAAAATATTAAATTGGCAGATCCAAATTTTAACATCCCGAGTAAGATAGATATATTAATCGGTGCAGAGAGGTTTTGGGAGCTGGTTTGCGTGGGTCAAATAAGGCTAGGTAGAAACAAACCAATATTACAAAAATCATTAGGCTGGTTAGTATCAGGATCCATTAATATAGTCGAGTCAAAAAAACATTCACAAACAAGCTGTAATCTAAGTACATTAGAGGAACTATGTCAGACCGTCCAAAGGTTTTGGGAGGTAGAAAATTACGCGAACATTAAGAATAGTACTTCGGAAGAAAAGTATTGCGAAAGGTTATTCGAAACTAGTTACGTGCGGCAAAAAGATGGTAGATTCGTTGTCAAATTGCCAGTCAAAAAAGAAATATTGCCATTGTTGAATGGTTCAAGGGAGGTAGCTTTGAAGAGATTCTTAGCATTAGAACGGAAATTTAGTTACAATCCTGAATTGAGAGGGGATTATATCACGTTTATGAAAGAATATCAGCAGTTAGGACATAATGAGTCGAATAGAGAAAGAGAAAGATAATAACTTTCGGGTATACTTGCCACACCAAGCCGTAATAAAAGAAACCAGTGTCACGACTAAAACTAGAGTAGTTTTTGACGCGTCGAGTCAGTATGCCAAGGGGAAAACTTTAAATGACGCTCTATATAAAGGCCCCACAATACAAGCAGATTTATTTGCCTTAATAATACAATTCCGAGGCTATAAATATGTGTTATGTGCAGTGGTGGAAAAAATGTAGACAAATATTAGTTGACAAAGAGCAACGGTCGCTGCAAAGTATATTGTGGCGGGAAGATCCGAAAGACGAGTTGCATGAATTCGAATTGAACACCGCGACCTACGGTACGAAACCCGCGTCATTTTTAGCCGTAAGGTGTCTGCACCAGTTAGCGGAAATCGAAAAAGTAAACTACCCTAGAGCAGCTGAAGTATTGTATAACAATTTTTATATGGATGACCTCTTAACGGGAAGTAACACAAGCGCGGAAATCTTACTCTTGAAAGAGGAATTAATAGAATTGCTAGGTAAAGGAGGATTCAAATTGCACAAATGGAGGAGTAACGTAGAGACGGTTAAGGAAAATAAGCAGTTTAAAAATGAAAGCTTAGATATTACTAAGGAAAAAGAGTCAAGATTACTAGGGGTATTATGGAACCCACATAAAGATATATTTCAATATGAAGTAGACATAAGGGAGACAGATCAACGTGTAACAAAGAGGAAAGTGTTATCGCAAACATGTAAGCTGTATGATCCGTTAGGTTTAGTAGGGCCGGTAATAACTTCGGCGAAAATTCTAATGCAAAAAATGTGGAGTTCAAGTCTAAAATGGGACGAATCAGTGCCCATGCACATTCATAGGGAATGGGAACGTATAAGATCACAATTGCATATACTCAATGAACTACGAATACCTAGACTAATTGTATCAGGCGAAGGCCAGGTTCAACTACAGCTGCATGGGTTTTGTGACGCAAGCGAGGCGGCGTATGGTGCATGCGTGTATATACGAGAAAGAAACAAGCGAGGAGAAATCACGGTTACCCTAGTTTGCTCCAAATCACGCGTGGCACCGATGAAAGCGTTATCGCTGCCCCGGTTAGAGCTATGTGGAGCCGTTTTGCTAGCCAAATTAATGAATCGAGTATTAATAAACCTAAAGTTAAACGTAGCGCAAAAGTTTTACTGGACGGACTCTAAAATTGTATTAGCCTGGATAGACTCCTCCTCTAGAAAATGGCACATATTTGTCGCGAACCGAGTAAGCGAAATACACAATGATTCCACACCTTCCGAATGGGGTCACGTAGGAACTAGAGACAATCTCGCGGATCTAATATCGAAGGATGCTACATCAGAGCAATTAGTGAATTCTAACATTTGGTGGAATGGACCTCAGTAGTTGAAACAAGAGAGAGACGCGTGGCCCGGGGAAGACGTGGAATTATTAACAAACATACCAGAGGAAAGAAAACAAATTGTAACAGTAGTGGTTACTAACTGCGATACCGTTATAAAATATAGGAGATTCTCGTCATTGTATAAATTGTTACGAGTAGCAGCATACATGTTAAGATTTATTTACAATATAAGATGTGGCAAGGAAAACCGCAAGCTAGGCACGATAGGCGCCGAAGAAATTAAAATAGCTAAAATAAGGGTAATTATGTTAGTACAATCCGAAAAGTTTTCAGACGAAATAGAAATGTTAAAGTCGAGCAAAAAGGTACAGAGAAGTTCAAGACTGATAGCCCTATCACCATTTGTTGACCACAATGGAATCTTAAGAGTGGGTGGAAGGTTGAAGCACGCAGTCCTACCGGAAGAGGTCAAACACCCCACAATCTTACTATCACATCACTATTTTACAAAGCTGGTGATTATACACTACCATGAGAAGTTATTGCATGCTGGAGTCCAGACTACATTAAGTAATATCAGAGAAGAATTCTGGCCAATATTTGTGCAAGGAGTAGAGTCAAGGAGATAATATACAAATGTATCCGGTGCCGAAAGGCTAATCCCAAAGCAAGCTGGCAGCTCATGGGACAGCTACCAATGGCCCGAGTTAGCGCAGCAAGACCCTTTCATAATACAGGAGTCGATTATTGTGGCCCCTTCTATACCCGGGACCGTATTAGACGTAACAGTAAGAAATATAAAACCTATGTGGCAGTCTTTATATGCATGTCGGTAAAGGCAGTACACATTGAATTAGTGGAGGATTTGAGCGCAGATTCCTTCATCGCAGCAACAAAGAGATTCATAGCTCGGCGAGGAAAAGTTGCGAACCTATACTCCGACAATGGAACTAATTTCGTCGGAGCAGAACGCGAATTACGGCAAGTGTTCGAGACTAACGAATTTAAGAATTCCGTCCAAGAGTATGCAGCTTCCGAACAAATGAAGTGGCATTTTATACCTGCTCGATCCCCTCATTTTGAGGGACTTTGGGAATCGGCGGTGCGGTTATTAAAGTTACATTTGAAACGAACTATGTAGGGGACGCCTGTTTGACGGTAACGGAGCTGATGACGATATTAATTCAAGTAGAAGCAATGATAAACTCCAGACCTCTGACTCCTTTATCGGACGATTCGAACGACCTAAATGCCTTAACTCCTGGCCACTTCCTAATAGGAGAGTGTCTACAAAGCCACCCGGAGGTGAATCTGTAAGAAATTCCGGTAAACAGATTGTCAAGATGGCAACACGTACAACAACTCAAACAACGATTTTGGACTAGGTGGCAGAAAGAATACCTAAGCATATGTCAGCAGAGAACTAAGTGGAAAATTGACTCCAGGAACGTATTCAAGATCGGACAATTAGTTATGTTAAAGGAGGGTGAAAGCAGACCTTTGAAATGGAAACTCGCCCAAATTTTGGAAATACATCCTGGTACTGACGAAATCGTAAGAGCGGTGACTGTGAAAACGGAACAGGGTATATATAAAAGAGCTATTGTTAATGTGTCACCGATACCAGATTAGCACGAAACATCTATGTATTAATTTCTTATTTTAAGCGTTTAATTTAGATACTATACGGATTGTTATACCGTATAAAAAAAAATATATATATATATATGTATAACTTGTGTAAGAATAACGAATCATGTTCGAGACTATACTTTAGAAATAAGTTTGTATTGTTTTATTGAAAATATGCAATATTTGACAAGGCGGGCGGCGTGTTATGATTGTTAGTTGGTAACTCCTATTTTAGTTAATCACGTTACGCAGGTCGGTAGCTTAGTTATCGATCTTGTTATCGACCGACTGATTACTGTATTTCGACGAGATAGAGCGCCAGCGGTGTACGCACGCATCCGCGAGTTGCGAACGGCTAGAAGGAGAGATCAGATTTAGCAAGCGTAGAGTAGACACGTATCAGCTTTCAGTGAATAAATTCAATTTCAACTAACCACGTATTACTCAATTTTCCACCTACAACTGCAGTCAACAACAATTATTATAGAACAGGTGGCTATGTGATTAGATACATTACTGATTCTTAAGAAACTGCCATCTTCTTCTGTTGCTAAAAATGAGGTTAATACTAAAATTGCAAAATGTTGAAGGCCACTAAAGATTTTCTAAAGCGAAATCCTAATGTCATCTTAACAAAGGTTGATAAGGGAAATATCACAGTTGCATTAAATAATGATTAAAGTATTGCAAATGCTTGAGGAAAAGAAACTTACATAAAATTAAAGAAAGATCCGACTAATAAATTAACTAATGATGTCCGAGATCTGTTATTAAGATAAAAAAGACAAATTTTATTAATGATTTAATGTACAAAAAATTATCTTGTAGCGAAAGTATTCTCCCGAGAGCGTATGCTTTACCGAAAATACATAAATTGAATTGCCCATTCAGATTAATAATATTATCTATAGATAGTCCTCTATATGCCTTGGCAACTTTCATACATGATATCACCCAGGGAATGGAAGTAACTCGTTACTTGTAACGAAGTTACAGTTACAAGTTACTTTTTTGGTAACTTTACTGGTAACTGCATTACTTTTTTTCTTTGGTAACTGTAACGGTAACGAAGTTACATTTTTTTGATAATGGTAACGAATTTTACAGTTACTTTTATCGTTACTTTGCACATGATTGGACATGATACGACACAAGCCACTTACACTGTAAAAAAATTTCTTTACACATGTGTATAATAGATGTAAAATAGATTACATGATTAGTATATATATAAAAAATCATGCAATTTTAGAAATTATGTAAATTTTTATTGTGTAAATATATCATATTTTATATTGAAAATTATATAAATAGCAGGATATTTTGAATATTTTCTGTAATTATCCAAATTTTAGTATTACGTAATATAGCAAAAATTTTTCGCATATTGCTGTTAAATGTATAATAATATATAGTGCGAAATATATTGTCATATTCCTGTAACTACACATACACATTGTAATTGTACTTCTACAATCTGCTTAGTTACAAACCAAGAAATTATTTTTATTTGCATATTTCAAATTTACGAACGTGTGGACGTTTACAACTATTATAGTGGGTCTCAAAATTATCCACTATAATAGTTATAATTTTACACAACAATTTTTTACAGTGCATAGCGCTTGAGACTAGAGAAGGCCCCTAGGCCCGTCCGCTGTGATTGGCGGTCGTAGATTTAAAAAAAAAAAAAAACGGAAAAGTAACGAAAATTTACTTTCTCAAATAACGATAACTATGTCGAGTTACTTTTAAAAATCAGTAACTAGTAACGGTAACTTGTTACTTTTTCTACTCGGTAACGAGTAACTGTAACTTGTTACTTTTAAAAAGTAACTTTCCATTCCTTGATGTCATCTCAAAGAATGTACCTAAATCGGTTTACAATATTGATAATAGTTTTCAATTGGTATAAAGACTTAAGGGGACACGTTTTGAAATTGAACATGTCTTATTGGATGTTGTGTCCTTGTTTACCAATATCCCTATTGATTTGACTATTGAGAGTATTGATAAGAAGTGGAATTTTGTGAGGGACAAGATCAATATCTCGAAAGATGAATTTATGTTGGGAGTCCGGTTGGTACTTAATTCAACTTATTTTAGTTTTGATGGGCAGTTTTATAAACAAAATTTTGGTACCCTTGTGGGGTCGCCTCTTTCTCCAATAGTATCCGATTTAGTGATGATTTGGAAGTAAGGGCATTAGAGACTTTGGGTTTTCAATCCTTTTATTTTCGTTATGTAGACGATATTGTTATGGCAGTTCCAAAAAATCTAGTTGACTTTACACTTGAGACCTTAATTCGTTACATGACAGATTAAAATTTATCTTAGAATTTGACGACGACAAAATAAATTTTTTGGATATTACTATTATTAACCCTTATCGTACCATCTACAATTTTGTGCCTCATCCATACCATCAAGAGTCACTTCAAATCTCTTCGTTTTTTCACCTCTTCAAAATAATTTAAAAAATCTCTAAAAATTCACCAACATACTTTCAACTTTCTAGAATAAATATTGACTCTATTTTGGAAAATAATAAAATGTAGTATAATTTATAATTACCGAAAGACTTAAAGAAATTCGCACGAACAGGAATCGCTCGGTCACTAGTTACCCATATTAGTACGGTAATAATCTAATTGAATTTGACTGTGGTATCATAAACCTACGTATTCGGGAAGATACCTTAATTTTTTTTCGTCACATCCACTCTCACAAAAAAGAGGTATAATAATAGGTATGACAGATAGAGCGTTTTTATTATCGGAAAATATCACCCAAAAAATTTTGAACACATTATCAGTACATTACTAAAAAATGATTATCCAATTGATTTAATTTTTAATACTAGTAATGCACGTTTAAAAATTCTCATTCATAAGGTACAATACAACAAAAAGAATCACATGAAGAAATTAAGAGGGATTATACTTCTTGGTTTGTACTACCTTATATTTCAAAAATTTCAGATGAATTCAAAAGAATTAGTAAAACTTTTAACACAAAATTAGCTTTTATTGGCTTAAATAAATTAAATAGTTTGATCAAAGGACATAAAGACATCCTCCCAAGAGAAAAGAGAAAAAATGTTGTGTATAAAATCTCATGAAATCCTGTGATGCTTCTTATGTTAGACAGACAAGAAGAAAACTTAAAATTAGATTGGCTGAGCATCGTAATCATATTAACCGGAATAATAACAACCAATCGGTGATCACAGAACATCGGACTGAATTTGAACATGACTTCGATTGGGAGAATGTTGCGATATTAGATGAAGAGTGTTTTCTTAATAAACGTTTAATATCTCAGTGCATTCATATACTCATGCAACAAAATAGTCTCAATTTACGCTCAGATACAGAGGGTGTACATCAAACTTATGTACAATTATTGAAAGACATTAAATAGTTACATTTTGTCGGTTTATACACATTATTGTTTATGTATTGACATTGTTCTTTTTTCTTTTTATTTTCCTTGTTGACCTGACATGTCTTACTTATTATATTAAATGTATTAGTCATGTTTTGTTCGAGCTGCGATCAACATGCGGTTTTTAACTAGATACTCTTTAATGATAATAAATTTTAATTGGTTTTGATCCAGTGTCGAGACGAATTCCTTCTATGTCTTGAGGTGAGTCACTAGTTTTTTATGTTAATTTGTAACTTGTTGGATAGAATGGTTTCGAAATATTTATAAGATAATTTACTGTTTCGAATAGATTACAACATCAAATCTGTTAATCTGATGGTGATTTTTTTCTTGGACATGACGGGATTGATATTTTGAAATTGTATTGCTGAGGATGGTTCCAAAGTTAATTAAAATGTACTATTTTTTGGAATAAAGATTCTATTTTCTGAAATAAAGATTTAAAATTGCGTATTAACTACACTGACTCTCAGGAGCCCTGATTTTTTTTTATTATTTTGATGTTATTGTGACTTGTTTTCTACTTTAATTGCGAAAAACTTTTGTATATGAATGGCTTGTTCTGCTTTAATTGTGAAAAACTTTTGTATATGAATAATGATATTGTGTGGAAACTGCAGGTGTAATTTTTCAATAATGATTATGTATAAGTGCTTATGCATATATATATATATGATTAATTAATCAAAGTAGTTGGCAATATAATTACTATTTTTGAGAAATACTTTAAGTTTATTTCGATAAGTTTTAAGTATTTCAGAAATGATAAATATATATATATATATA